TTTCTTTTTAACTTTTAGGTATATTATTTGGGCGCAGCACATTAATATTGTAATGTGTAATATCTTTTCACCTTTTGGATATTCACTGGGATATTAGCTGACAGGAAGCATCCACAACAAATTTCAGCTGGTTGCTGATGAACCAACAGTGCAAAAAAAAAAAACAAAAAAAAAAAACATCAACTACCCCTTGCCTATAAGGTATCACACTATTTGGCCTCCTTTGTTCTTTGGGCTCTGGTGTGAGTCCTTTACATCTGCAGAGCGGCCTTTTCTTCTATGTGTGGGAATACACTACCTACCAGGCTTTCCATGACCATCTGACCAGATCCATATGAGGACCTTGGAATATCAGCTTTGAATGCGCATTTGAATTGCGCATATTGGTGAGTGCGCAATTTTTACTTTTATCACTCCACGAATCCAGGGATTGGAGCTCTTAAAGGACCCTCTTGGATTCTGAGCTCGATATGGACTATATTCATCATTTAGTCACCGTTTTGGCACATATTATATTTATCAAGTATATAAGTATATTTATTCATTTAGTTTAGCGCTGCACCTCTCCCTTATATAACTCCTTTGCTGTCCATGGAATGTATATTTATTTTGAGGTAGCTACTTATTTCTACTTTAATATTTTTTTTTTTTTAACTTTTAGTATATTATTTGGGCGCAGCACATTAATATTGTAATGTGTAATATCTTTTCACCTTTTTTGGATATTCACTGGATATTAGCTGACAGGAAGCATCCACAACAAATATTAGCTGGTTGGAGTGTTATCATAACCAGAACAGAAGAATCAACTAAACTACAACAAATTTTAGCTGTATCTGGGCTTTAAGTTCATTTCAAAATATACACTAAGACCATGATACAGCTCAAAGTGAAGATGTAATGGTTTGACTTTTGTTTTGTACATTTTCATACTTTTTACAAGTTTTTAAATTGATGGTTTCTATCCATTTACTATTCAAATAAAAGTGATATTTAAGAAGAAATTTTTTTAAACTTTCTAAAAGAGTGATCAAGAAAGATAAACAATTAATGAAAAATGCACTAACAGGATTTGGAAAACAAATATTCAGAGTTTTCAAAATGAGCACAGAATTAGCGGTTAATTTTCAAACTCTTTTTTTGCATGTAATTCTTTATTGAACACGTTTAGGTGCACACAATAGTAACAGCATACAGATTTGACGGTAGTAAAATTAACCACTTCCAGTCCGAACACTTAACCCTTCATGTCCAGGCTAATTTTCAGCTTTCAGCGCTATCACACTTTGAATGACAATTGCGCGGTCATGCAACATTGTACCCATATTAATTTTTTAGCATTTTTTTTTGAGACAGATAAAGCTTTATTTTGGTGGTATTTATTCACCACTGGGATTTTTATTTTTTTTTGCTATGTAAATTAAAAAGTCAGAAAATTTTGAAAAAAAAGTGTTTTTCTTATAAAATTTTGCAAATTAATAGTATTGTATCATAAATCTTGGCCAAAATTTATTCCATTATATTTTTAGTAAAAAAAAAAAAAACCAATCACTGATCACATGATTGGGACCTCGTACAGAGGTCCCGTCCGACGATCGGTGTTCCACTGTGTCCGGAGAACACAGCAGGCTCTGGATCGCGGTGCTGCGCGCTCCCAGGGAGCGTGCACAAGTAGGGCGCAGGGAGGCCATTTATAAACGGCCACCCGACCCTGCACTGCCACCGTCTGGCCGTTTATATTCCACAGCCGGATGGGAGGTGGTAAATTCAATCACACAGGTAAATGTGGTACATATACACTCAATGCAACGTATTGTTTGTTTGTTTTTTCTACTTTAAGATAAACAACCAACCAAAAAATAAACATTTTACATGAATAGTTAAATACTATTTTAAAACTATGAATAACTGATCATTCATCAAGGGACCACAGCACTGTCACCATTAGCAAGGGTCTAATTTAATCCCTCTGGATACAAAAGAAATTATACCTGTAGGAGCCTATGGAGCTGGGAGCCTGGGAGCTGGCCCCAGAGTATCCAGGCAGTTTTGCCATATAGGCATACATTTCTTAGGGAAGTTACGATGTTGGTAGGTTAGTTTTTCACGTATTCGTGTGGAGTTCATCTGTTCAATCCACTGCTGTCTGGTAAAGGTATGAGGTGATAAACAACAGCGAGCTATCATTTTAGGGCAATGTAAAGAAGCTTTGCCACTGCAATATAACTTCAGGGAGTAAACAGTTCCTTGTCTACTGAACCCAGAAGGTATACCATTAGGTCTTGTGGAATATGAGTATTAAATACAGCATACATTGTATCAAATACATCTCTGTTGCACTTGGGGTACAGGGGGAATCCCTCCTGCTACACTTAACATTTGGGGGGGGGGGTCCCGTAGGCTCATTGCAAAAGAAATAGCTGGGAAAGTTTCTATGAAGAGGATAAGAAAAACAAATGAGCTGTAAGGATGTCAAAATCACCTCACATCTCTCACCCTCTATCTCCACCATATCTAGTTCCCATTTCCTTCTGCAGGGTAACCGGAGCGGAGTCCTAGAAAAGAGTCAAAAAGACCTTAATATATTCAAGAAACCATGCCTTTCTTAATGGTTCCAGCCACTATTTCCTTAATCAGTTGTGGCATCTCAAGAGTTTGGGTGGAGTGACAGCCTGAAGCGCATGGCGCAGTTTTAGAAACCAAAAAAACTGCCCTCTCAGGATATTAAGACTCTCATATATACTAAAAGAAAATACATTATATATTTTTAATTGCTGACTATCTTCTAAAGAAAATATATTTAAAATGTGCAAGATTGCTTAGCAAAAATGCGCCAAGTCTAGACATAGAATGCTCATCTGCAGTTATTATAATTGCTACTGTGTTTCACTGTTGTTCCTGCTGAAAATAATTACAATTGTCAGAGAAAGTTTTCTTACTTGTATTTCAATTCAGCATTTGAGAATATTGTTTAACATTTTAATCTTGATAGAAATCATAATCACTGCCAATTACATGAAAAATACATTATCTTTTACAATTGCTTCATAACACAAGCAGGACCTATCCTTAATACAGAGGCTGTGAAAAGCCACTACTTCAGCTGCCTGTCAAGTATTGCAAGTAGAAACATTGTGACAGTAGACTGCAAGAGAGCCCTAGACCATGTTTAAATTATTGTACTACAGGAAACCAGAAGCTGAACTAAAAAGCCTAGTATGAAAAGAGAATTTTCATCCAAAAAATACTCACAATTGACTGCTTCACTTCTAAGAGAGCTTAAAGGGTAAGTTCACCTTTTGGGGAAAAAATAAAAAATGCACATACTTTTGCAGAAAAAAAAAATGTGCATTTATTATTTCTTCTCCCAGGATCCAGCAAAGCACTGATTCACTGATCAAGGGTGCAATGTCAGGCTCCGGCAGACAAGCACAACAGCTTTCAGCCCATACCTCTATACGGGCTATCAGTTTGAAAGCTGCAGGGCTTGAGAAGGAGCTGTGAGGGTGTTTATCAATGTCCTTGCAATTCACTGAGAACTACAAGATGGGTCTTTAATTCACAGATCAATGTGAATGAATAACGTGGATGTGGCATTTTTGAAAAGTGACGAGCGCGACTAAAGGTTAACTCCCGCCTGCTGTCCCGGTGTTGGAGGGAGACTATAACTTGGGTGAAAATGGTTGTAACATATTACATGCTCCAAAAGGTGAACTTAGCCTTTAAGATACCCAGCAAAGAGAAGCCAAAAACTATCAAAATGCACTATTGAAAAAAAAAATCTTTTAGATATGTGTTTATTTATTTATTTAACTTATTACAGGTATTTATATAGCATTGACATTTTACATACACTTTAGTACTCTATGGTACAATATTGAAAGGTTATCATACTGATCCTGCAACTTCAACAGATTAAATCACTGACCAGAAACAAGTAGGCAGATCAGGACTCCCTTCACTAACTGCAAGCTTGTTCTAGGTTAGTGAATTAGCAAATATAGAAACATGACATAACAGGTAGAAAGCAATGGAAGCCCCTGCATTGCCCTCAGTAAAGATTCAAATACAGAATAACTGAAGGCAACAAGGACAATAACTCAGCTAACTGGTAATACTTTCCAGGAAACACTGGAACTGTGCTTCAACCCCAACTAGGTCAGGTAAAGCTGAGTGAGACAGAAGCTTCTTCCCACACAATTCCATTTTTTTTGTGTGTGAAAAAATACTGTAGGTGAAAATTGACAATATCACAATGGAATGGTGAAAAAAAAAAAAAGAACAACGCTAGAAAACCAGTAAGAAAGGAGATTTTTGCATAGTCTGCATGGTACCCTATGGCCATGGATCAAAAAACCCAAATCACTAATCAGTCTTTAATTTGATTTTTTTTTTTCTTACTTTGCCCCCAACCCAAAAGGTAAGGCATGTTTAACCACTTCCAGTCTGGACACTTTTACCCCCTTCCTGACCAGGGCAATTTTCAGCTTTCAGCGCTTTGAATAACAATTGCGTGGTCATGCAACACTGTACCCATATGAATTTTTTACCATTTTTTGGAGACGGAAAAACTTTATTTTGGTGGTATTTATTCACCACTGGGGTTTTTTTTTTTTTTTTTTTGCTATGTAAATGAAAATGTCCAAAAATTTTGAAAAAAAGTGTTTTTCTTATAACATTTTGCAAATAAATAATATTTAATCATAAATCTTGGCCAAAATGTATTGTTATATTTTTAGTAAAAAAAAAAAAATAAGCCAAATTAGTTTATAACCCAAAATTCTAATTTTTTAAACATTTTTTTTTTTTTTATATATTATTATTTATTTTATTTTTATTTTTTTTTTTTACATACTGTCACCCTAGCAGTACAGTATGCAAGTGTATGATCCAAATGCACACGTTCCTGCGTTAAAAATGGCTGTGTGTATAAGTGGGTGCTGCAGTGACCATCGGCTGGAACCGAACAAAATCAGCAAGAAAAAAATGTCACCAGCAAACCGATGAAGGGGTCCTGCGAGACTCCGAAACGTTGCCTTGCTGTAACTATGTGATGGTTTATTAAAACCTTTGGACCCATATTGGTGATCCTCGTGTTCTGGTGACATTTTTTTCTTGCTTTTTTCCTAGCAGTACAGGAGTGCCCGCAGTCTTGCCAGATGACTCGGTGCCCGCAGTCTTGCCAGACGACTCGGTGCCCACAGTCTTGCCAGACGACTCGGTGCCCGCTGTTCCGCCAGTTGACTCAGAGCCCGCTGTTCTGCCTGGTGACTCGGGGCCAACGGTCTTGCCAGATGACTCGGAGCCCGCGGTCTTGCCAGATGACTCGGTGCCCGCGGTCTTGCCAGATGACTCGGTGCCCGCGGTCTTGCCAGATGACTCAGTGCCCGCAGTCTTGCCAGACGATCCAATGCCTGATGACCCAGTGCCCACTGTCATGCCTGGTGACCCGATGCCCGCTGTCGTGCCTGATGACTCGATGCCCGCTGTCGAGCCAGGCGATCCAATGCCTGATGACCCAGTGCCCGCTGTCATACCTGGTGACTCAGAGCCAGCTGTCACGCCTGGTGACTCGGTGCCCACTGCCTTGCCAGATGACTAGGTGCCCGCTGTCGAGCCAGATGACCTGATGCCTGGTGACCCGATGCCCGCTGTCGTGCCTGGTGACCCGATGCGCGCTGTTGAGCCAGATGACCTGGTGCCCCGCGGTCGAGCAAAACGATCCAATGTCTGATGGCCCGGTGCCCTGCTGTTGTACCTGGTGACCCCATGCCCGCTGCCGAGCCAGATGGCCCGGTGCCTGCCGCCCTGCCTGGTTGCCCGGTGCCCGCCGCTCCGCCTGGGGGCCCGGGGCCCCTGGGTGCCCTGCCGCCCTGCCTGGTTGCCCGGTGCCCGCCGCTCCGCCTGGGGCCCGGGGCCGCTCCGCCTGGGGGCCCGGTGCCCGCCGCTCCGCCTGGGGCTCCGCCGGTGCCCGCCGCCCCGCCTGGGGGCCCGGTGCCCGCCGCCCCGCCTGGTGGCCCGGTGCCCGCCGCTCCGCCTGGTGGCCCGGTGCCCATGCCGCTCCGCCTGGTGGCCCGGCCCGGTGCCTGCTGCTCCGCCTGGTGGCCCGGTGCCTGCTGCTCCGCCTGGTGGCCCCGGTGCCTGCTGCTCCGCCTGGTGATCCGGCATCCAGCCCGACGTGCCTCCGTCCGGCGCCCAGCCCGACGTGCCTCCGTCCGGCGTCCAGCCCAAAGTGCCTCCGTCCGGTCCGCCCAGCCCGACGTGCCTCCGTCCGGTGCCCAGCCCGACGTGCCTCCGTCCGGTGACCAGCCCGAAGTGCCTCCGTCCGGTGTCCAGCCCGAAGTGCCTCCGTCCGGTGTCCAGCCCGAAGTGCCTCCGTCCGGTGTCCAGCCCGAAGTGCCTCCGTCCGGTGTCCCGAAGCCTCCGTCCCCGAAGTGCCTCCGTCCGGTGTCCAGCCCGAAGTGCCTCCGTCCGGTGCCCAGCCCAAAGTGCCTCCGTCCGGTGCCCAGCCCGAAGTGCCTCCGTCCGGTGTCCAGCCCGAAGTGCCTCCGTCCGGTGTCCAGCCCGAAGTGCCTCCGTCCAGTGTCCAGCCCGAAGTGCCTCCGTCCGGTGTCCAGCCCGAAGTGCCTCCGTCCGGTGTCCAGCCCGAAGTGCCTCCGTCCGGTGCCCAGCTCGAAGTGCCTCCGTCCGGTGCCCAGCTCGAAGTGCCTCCGTCCGGTGCCCAGCTCGAAGAGCCTCCGTCCGGTGCCCAGCCCGATGTGCCAGTCTTTGATATCCCGCCAGTCACCGGACCCGGGCGGTGGAACATTTTGCCCAGCTAGGACTGTTTGGAGCGTCCTTGAGGGGGGGGGTACTGTCAGGAATAAACTTGCCAATAGTGGTGGGACTCACCTGCCTTGTGGGCTGCAGTACCAGGGCTGGCCAGCGGGTGCTCTCAACAACCAGAGGTTCACTTCGGCAATTAGCCATCACCTGGGGCTGATTGCAGGTGTATTTAAGGGATGGCCAGACCTGCAGTCTGTGCCTTGGTGTGTGTTTTTCCATGGGCCCCTGTATCTTGTAACCTGCGTTCCTGTTCCTGCCTCTGCCTGACTTGTTGCCGACCCTGCCTGATCCTGACCTCTGCTGACTTCTCCTGTTTTGATCCCTGGCTTGTGACCCTTACTATTCTCTCCGCCTGCTCCTCCTGTACCTACCTGCCCGATAGTTATCGACCCGGCCTGCCTGATTACGTTGTGCTCTATATGTGTATGTACCTGTGTATCTGTATCAGTTTAGGTTTGTTTCACCTTGTTGTATGTATTTGTGTTAGCTTGGGGTTTGGTGCACTGCGTTTATGTTTGTATTGTTAGTCTTTAATAAATTGTCTTATTTATACCATATCTGAAGCTTGCATTTCCCTGTGTCAGTCCACACACTTCTGGTCACACCCGCATCCCTGACAGTCAGGCTGGGTCGGCAACAAGGCAATCACTGGACAGAAACGAGCAGGAACACAGGAACAAGACCATACGGCAACTTGGGGATGCACAGGGCTGGTTTAAATAGTGCGCCCTGTGCTAGCATTGGTGCCAGGCGCGCGTCCGCGATCGCGAGTGCGCATGCATGGCCGCCACTGTTGCCGCGGTTGCCTATGCCCTAGTGCCCGCCGGCTAATGCGCCGCCGCGATCCCTGACATTGCCCCCCACGGGCAGCCTCCGGATGCCCAACTGATCTCTCCTCTGTGGGTGGTTGCGGAAAAAACTCTTGAATCAATCTGGGAGCGTGGACGTTTTGGGCTGGTTCCCATGAATTTTCCTCTGGCCCATAGCCTTTCCATTTGATGAGGTATTGCATCCAACCTCCAATCTTCCTGCAATCCAAGACTGCCTCAACTTCAAATTCCTCCTCTCCATCAATGTCTAGGGCTACTGGAGGTCTTGATCTACGATCCGGGAAGGGATCTGGAATTGCAGGATTCAGCAGGGATACATGGAACACCGGGTGTATCCGGAAAGATTCGGGCAGTGCCAATTCGAAGGCCACTTCATTGATCTGCCGTTTCACCTGGAATGGGCTCACGAACTTGGGTGCCAATTTCCTTGATGGGCACGCCATCTTCAGGTTGGTTGTCGCCAACCAATCCTGATCTCCTGGGTGTACGACCAACTCCCCCCTCCTCCTTTTATCAAAGGCTCTTTTGTTATCCTCCTGGGCTTTTGTCACTGCTTCCTGTAATAATTTGTTGTTGGATGCGAAGAAATTTAAGGCATCTTGAGCCACCAGAACTAAGTGCGCATGCGCGGCCGCCGCTGTTGCCTATGCCCTAGTGCCCACCGGCTAATGTGCAGACCCATGTGCCGCCGCGATCCCTGACACCAATTATCCTAGTGTATTGCTAAGTTTCCTCTTTCTCTATACAAAAAGGAGGTGGTGACAGTGTGAAGGGTTAATTGTGTAATAAACCTGACCCAGTAACAAATGCTCCCAGGCTGCAGGTGTGTCGATTGTGGTCCAATTAGCTGAAAAATCGGTGTACAGGGTGCAGCTGGGAGTGGCATTGTCATGCACGTGACATCGCGGTTCCAGATTGGCTAGTCCTTCGGTCACAAGTTTGGTGAGAAGGTCAGGGGTCTGACACCACGATCGTCAAAGGTAGCACACTAACCTGCGACCTGACCAACCCCATATACATCTTATCTTGGGCTCAGACTTGGATTGGTGGTTCTGGGATGTCCTCTGAGGCATACATAGCCCTTATGAGCCAAATCTTCCACCGCAAAAAAGGTGTGTACCCGATCTAGCCTGGCTAGCACCATCCAAATCTTCCCCCACTTCCAGGGAGCTTTGGCCAGAGACCTCAGCCTCCTCTAGGTCTTCCTCCTCTGTGACCTGAGAGAGGATGAGGGACCCAACCCCCCTCCCCACTGCTTCCCCATCCAAGTCCCCTCCTGGGAAGATGACCTTTCCCTAGAGGACTGAGCATCCACCTCCCTGGATGTCAGAGCTGTCTTAAAGGATTGTAAGGTGGTGAACGTCTCCATTTGCACCAACAAAAAATCCTTCATAACCTCAGAGGTTTCTTTCCCTGACAACGTGTGGATACATTTGTAACAAAAGGATCTGGCATAGTCTTGTGGGACTTTATCATTGCAATAACCACACCGTTTGGAGTGAGGGGGTTGTGGGGGGGCTTTAGCCTTAGGTGTCTTGTGGGCGCTCTCCTGGTCGGATCCACACAGCTCTAAGGAAAGACAAACAAGGGGCCCCGGTTAGAACGGTATTCCTTCCCTCTAGGTACACCTGTAGGGGAGTGGGTAAGGACTCTATCCCCCTCCTCTCCCCCCCCATCAGCCGAGTCAGACTCACCGACCATGGTCTTCTCACTGGCTGCAGCAACTGCCTCGCCTTCCATCCTCAGTAGGGTCCCTCGGGACTGCGACACCTTCACCAGGCTTCTGGGTCCACACTCCCAGAGGTGATTCCTGGAGGCTCCTCAACGGCCTCATGAAGAAAGGAATGCCGACCGGTGCCATCTTTATGGTGGAAGTCCCACCCTAACCAGAAATCCAACAGGGAACGTGACTTGGTCCGCAGCCCATGGACCCTGGGCTCTCTGCCTGCGTGCCTAGCAGGGCTAACAGTGGACTCCACTATGGCTGCCCCGCCCACCCTACGGGTGCACGCCATGCCCCAGCCAGCGGTCCCAAGGAACCTGCGAGATAGCAGCCTTGTGGTCTGCTCCTCTTCTGATCACTCCTCCCCGCTGCCACGAACAAGGGAATAAGGGCACCCTAGTAGAGCAAACGGTGGACTCCACCGCAGCTGCAGGCATCATTCTGGTATAATTTTTTTAAGCCGGCGATCGGCTTTCATGTAAAAGCAATCCTAGTGGCTAATTAGCTGCAGGATTGCTTTTACAAGCAGCGGGAGATGATGCCGTCCTTCCACGGCCTGCTCGGGCAGTATCTGAGAATGCAGCCGGTGTTTCTGCCAGCTGACCATAGAGCTGAATGGAGACCAGAATGGTGCCAAATATCTCTATAGCCTAAGAAATTGGAAGCTACGAGCATTTCATCACTTCAGTTTCGCAGGATATAAACAGCGCCATTTGTAAATTGAAAAAGCATCTGACCACACCGATCTTGGTGAGATTAGATAATGTAAGGGCAGAACAGAGATCTAGAATCTGATAGACCCCAGATTTCTCGAAAAAGAATATATGACAATTAGTTAGGGGATATTTGCATTCTCTGTGATAGCATTAAAAGTGATAAAAAAAAAAAATTAAAGGGACAGTGTAAAAATAATTAAAAAAAATCAAAATAACTTAAGGGGAAAAAAAAAAACCCTTGCCCCCCCCTCCCCCCACGCATGTGCACACCTCTGTGCACAAACGTTGACCCTCTGCCAGTATGTAAACAGCGGTTGCACCATGCATGCGAGGTATCGCCATGAACATTAGATCAAGGGCAGTAATTCTAACACTAGACCTCCTCTGTAAATCTAAAATGGTAGCTTGTAAAGGCTTTTAAA